CATAACGTTTCCTTGTGGCCTAGTCCTCGCTTCTTCCTCGAGCTGACTGGCTCCCGCTTTGACTGATCCACGTTCACAGGGACAGCGCTTCTGTCATTTAAAACGGTTATTAAAGTAAGGTAATCCGTGGTTTCATACACAAACACAGCAACGCAGGGGGGGGCGAAAGGAGGTCTACAGTCATGCCTATGGAAACCGATACAATAAGTCACAAATAATAATACAAGAATAAACTACCTTGCGTACTGGCGACTGTAAACCTACTTTTGCCCCACCCCGCATATCTTAATAAGCAGAGGTTTCATTGTTCACATTACCCCTTTAAAGGGAAATGTTCACACTCAACTGTTGTGCTGACACAAAGTGGCCCAGTGCACGACTTGAAAACGGAACAAGGTGAAATCTGTGCGCGGCCAAGCTCCCGGGCCGCGGCCGCCTGACCCCGAGCGTGCGGCCTGATTAAGTGCTTACGAGGTGGTTGGGTAAGGCGCCCTTCCCTGATCTGATAACTGCCACGGAGAAGCCAAGTGCAGAGTCAATCTGCAGATACTTAATCCTCCAGAAGGCAGATTAAGTGTATAATTGACCTATATAATCCACGTATCATCTCCAGGCAAATGTTCCCGGCCCGGTGCACAGCGCCGCGGCTGAAGACAGCACGCGCGACGCGCAGGGCCCCGGCGTGGACTCCGTCCAAGCACAGGATGGCTTTTTAATCACTCATCTCCGAGCCTGTGAGGTTTAAGCAGATGAATTCACCCTAAGCACATCTCCTTTAATCCCGATTTTCTTCTCAGTCTGTGTCTTCAAGAAGTACAAGGAGGGAAGAAAATAAATTAATTTTTGTTTAGACCTTGAAATCTTAGGTGCTGCTCTTGATGATCTGATCTCTAATTTCAAAAAGCATGTTTTTGTTTTGGGGAAGATGTTGAGTTAATCACCAGAGAAGGGGGAAAGCCATCTGCATGATTTATGGACACTCGAGATTTAAATCGCTGCCTTCGACTTATTTCTTGGGCTTGTCGTCGCTTCTCAGATACTGCTTTAGGAATATGGAGATTATTTCATATCCATCTTCTATATTTTCTTTAAAAGTCAGCAACAATTTTCAAGGAGGCCAGGCTTCTACTTGAGTCTAACAACAATCTGATTCTCTTTGAAAAATTCAGTATCTTCAATATAATTTAAATTCATTGCTATTGTACATATTCTCTTGCTTTTGTTTCAAAATATTGTAAACTGTTATTTTGCAGTAACCGAAACCAGTTTACAATTGCATGTCATTTTTTAGGAGGAAAAAAAGCCAGGATGCAGATAAAAATGTACAGCGCCTATCTGAAATACGATGTGAGGCAGAACGAGGGCTCTTCTCCAAGCAGCACTTAGTTTTGGGCCAGTGAGGGGCATTACCAAAAAAGGTGATGGCATTTTATAGAAGAACTATGTAAATCAATAATATTAACAAAGAGGAAAAGGTTCGTTGCATTAAAAAGATCTGGTTTGGCAACGTTATGTCTGAATAGATTTCTTCAATAAATCTAGAGAATGCCTGCTTTTTTTAAAAAAATGGTGAAGACCAATTTAGAAAGACTGTTCTTAAGTTACATAATAAAATAGATAAAAATGCAGAACATCAAATATAGAGCCCCAAATGCTATGCTGATAATCTCCTATAAGCACCCAATTCCAGCCAAAAGTACACTGACAAGCAGGGAGAAAACCAGCTCAGAGAGAGCGATGAAATGGGGGCGGCTCAAACGGAAGATGTACGCGTTCAGTGACCAGCTATCAGTACGAATATTCCCAGATACAAACACACACTAATGCCACCCGGCCTTTTCTACAAGGTACGCTCAAAGGGGCAAAAAGGGAGACAATACTAAATAGCCAGAACTTAAAGGACTTATCAGGTAAATAAAATCAAGATTTAGAAGCACAGCTAAAAACACAACAGGATCTCTGAGAACATGCCTCAAAATGACAGATGCCAGCAGGGACCCAAAACCAGGGAAAAACACAACAGTCAGAATCAACAACCCCCAAACAGCAAACAATCTCAGAGATATAGGTTTCCCCCCCTCATTCAAAATGCTAATTTTCTATTATTCATTTTTGCCATTTATCAAAATGCAACAATTTGGAAGAGAAACCTCTCAGATCAACGTTTTTCTCAATAGATTTCTGCCATTTGTTTAGAAACCTGCCCCAGGACCCCTAAAATTAAGAAATTCAGTTGAAAGAACAATTCGTTGCTGCAAGAGATTTAGGGTGGCAGGTTTCACTGACCCTCTGCCATCCTATTCCTGTTCCCTGGTTTAGCTTGGTGGACACCAGGGCCTGGCAGTGCATATATACAAAGAAATAAACACCATGCTTGAGGAAACAGAAGCCGAAAATAATCAAACATGTTGATAATCTGATGTTTTGCTGCTAGATTATAGAAAAACAGTAAGTACTGAATTAAATTACTGAGATGGCATGGTAATGAAGCTTTTTGAGAAGCTCTGGGTTTTTAAAATGACAAATGTTTCAAATCCATGACAGATTCAATAACTTTCTTTGCACTACATCAGTTAGGTTGCCTAGCACCAATATTCTGTAAATGAGGGGAGCAAGTTATTTGAAAATTAAGAAAGTAAATGACAAAGAAATTTATCTCTAAACGAGCTACTGAAACTCCCCCCCCCCCACTCCCCAACCCCCCGGAGTGGGAGTGATGTTCAGTGAATGATTGTTAGTCTTTAAAATCAGGTTCTCAGGGACTGTAACTAAGACTCCCTTGGGAAACAGAACTGGGACAATATTAGGCTACATTGTGGGGTTCTCACAATGTTTCTGACACCATTTTACGCTGGTCAGGGTAATGCAACACGGGACCAAAATGCTTGTGAATTTTTGAATCACTCTAAACGTAATTTGTTTTCTGAAAAACATGGCATTAGTAATTTTTCTTTTCATTATTAATTCACATTAAAGGCCAGAGGGCTTGCGTTTGCCCGTGTTCTTCAATAGTCATCTGTGCTAGCCAAGGCCGGACTTGTACTTTTCAAATCAAGATTCAGTTGCTCTTCCCCTTTAAAAAAGTCACAGCAGAGGACAATTTGCCTGACTGCCTTCGGGAAGGCTACCTTAAAATAATTTCCCCTTGTACTTCTGATGTAAAACAAGGAAGAGGCCAGCATGGGTTATTTGTTAATGGAGCGACAGGCAAAACTGCAGATTAAACATCAAAATCAGGACTAGATGTTTTAAAGTTTTAGAGAGCATGAGGTTTTTCGCATACACGCACACACAGAAACACGTACGCACACACACACGAAGGCCACACAAAATTGAGAATCAGGAGATACTGATCAAAGGGCGAAAAAGGCAATTTAGGCATTGAAAAGAACAATCCACAGGCTTCTCAAAAATTTGTGGTTTGGAATTGAATTCGGTGGAGCTGGGCAGAGTGTCCAACCTCCTAGCAGCAGACCTATGCCTACTGGATGGGTGACTGTCCCCCCACATTCTGGGCTCGGCACTTTCAGAAAGGCATGCATGCAGACAAGGGGGCAGACCCGCCGTGAGCTTTATGCATGTATGAGGCATTCTCTGTGGGTGTGGGTCATGCTAGAAGATGTACACAGGAAGATTATTTGATTCTAATTCATGCCACTTGATATAATGTGATAAAACATTTGACATGAGAGATAAGTTCCATTTTCATCTGAGAGGGGACGGGTGGGAATTCAAAAGTAAGAAGGGTTTCTTGAAGAAAGGTGATGCAGAGGAAGGAGCGATATTGAGCACAGAAAGGGGATGACTGGGAGAGAAAAAAAAGAAAGGAGCCTTTTCAACACACAAGGAAAGCAAATGAGCTGGAAGACACGGCATATAAAAGTCAGAAGCTGCAATACCCCAAGCGGTGCCAACAATGAGCTCACTGAGCTGTGGAACAAAAACACACATACACACAAACTCAATGTAAATTGCTGAACACAATCACAGAAAAAATAGAGAAACACGGATTGCATAGTAGACCAAAACATTAATGTTCGGGCTGGCACTGAAAATACAGAAACCTGGACAGGAGCTCACAGGCACGAGACGAAGTGTGCGCACAGCCAGAACCACAGGAGACAAGTACGTCAGCGTCCCTGCACTCTGGCCGGGTCTACACTAGCAAGTTTGGTGGAAACTTGAAGCAAAATATCGGCTAAATGAGACAGCCCCATCTGCTTTGGCCTGAAAGAGGTGGGCGATTTGAGACCGAAGCAGATGCTTTTTCAAATCTTTTTGCTTTGGCAGTGCAGATGCGGTCAGGGTGGAAATAAGATCGCTGGGTAACGATTAACCGCTGGAAATCTGAGTTTCCTGAATGTCAGTCTGGGTCGGCAGCCTGATGGATGTGATCTTTGTACACTTGCTTCTTTTCCCAAATTTTCAAGTAGGTGGGTGGGCCGGGGCCACCTTGGCTTAGAATGCCAACTGCCTGAGCAACTCTAACAGAAGCGTTTGCCAAAACCCAGGGCGAAGAAAGGATCTCTGGTCTTCCAGAAGCTGAATCCTTTGTGAGGCGCTAACAAGGCCACATTGTGGCACATCTGCATGCCACAGCTGGTCAGGGAGGAACCTCCCCCAGGGGGGTGAGCTGGCTCAGCCTCCCCGACGAGAATATCTCCCTAGAGCAAGGCCAGATTGCAAGGAGGAGAACCAGGACAAGAGAGGTCTTTGCCAGTGACAGCAGCCCCGGCGTCACGCAGGATGAGCCTGCCTTCTGAGAGGCAGCGCGCGTCCCGTGTGTCACACAGACTGGGACTGAGACACGGCCACGCCAGAGTGGGCTCAGGACAGACACACAACAGATAAGAGCCTAAGGCAGAGGGAGAGGAAGAGATTTTGTTTGAATCAGGACCAATCCGTGTTCTCAAAATGTGACTTATCCTCCTGTCTCTTATTTTGTCACATTTTGGAGGGTCCCCTCCTTGGTCTGCAAGGAGGAGAAGGCATTTACTTACATCAAATAACCTTTCTATGTACATCTCCTCATTGACCTTATCACGAAGGACATCCTGAGAGTGGCGGACGAAAGTCACGTAGGCGTCGGCCACGTCCATCCCGGGTTTCTGCAAAGAAACAGGAACACGTGAAAATGATGAGAACGGAATTCTCAGACAGCTGCTCTTCCCTGATTACCCGCGGCTCCCCCAACCCCCCGCCCTGCGGGAGTTTCGAGCTGCCCGCAGTGTATGTTATAGCTGTCCACAGCCGGGGCTGGTAAGAACGGATATTGGGACCTTTTGCACTTTCTGGACATCAAACCTGGCTAAGAAGGGAGTTGGGATTACAGGGTTTTATAGATATTTTTCTACTATTAATTTCTTTTTTCTGGCAAAGATACCCTAATGATTAGTCACCGGATAACCCAGAGACTTCATCTGGCTTTTCTTGGGATTGACCCTCGCCCCATTTAAAAATACCCCAATATACTCTGTCCTCTACTGTCTCTCCTTAATATAACATCAGAAAGGTGACAGTCTTCCTGATCCCTTTTTCTTTATAAAACATTAAGGAAGTGCTAAAACCCTGCCCAGCTTGGCTCAGCAGTTAGAGCATCAGCCTGAGGACTGAAGGGTCACGGGTTCGATTCCTGGTTTGATCCCCAGCCCTGGTAGGGGTTGTGCGGGAGGCAGCCAATTGATGTGTCTCCCTCACATCGATGTTTCTCTCTCTCTCTCCCCCTCCCTCCCTTCCCCTTTATCTAAAAATCAATGGAAAAATATCCTTTGGCGAGGATTAACAACAACAACGAGAAAAGTGCTAAGTAAAGAAATCATAGTTCAATCTTCAATCTACACCCCTCCCACCCAAGTCACATTTTGGGGGTAATTTAACCTGAGTACCTAGGATTTCCTAATCAGTTTACTCAGAGGAGACATTCAACCATTTGTCTTTGCTTCCTGGTGTAGCTTATAGTCCAAGGATTAAAAGAAGGGGGAAGGGGGAAGGATTTGATTTTTAAATAAATTAGATTTTCTTGAAAGGTAAGCAGGTGGTTCATCCAGTATAGGAAATAATTTATTGTAAGGAAAAACCTCAGAATGCGCACTGCTTGAGACGTCGCAATCAAAGTTATCTCCAAAGAAACCTATTAAAACACTGTAATATGGGTCATTAGGAGAGCTGCCATAAGCCGCTTAAATTTCCAGAGTAGATATGTATGTTTGCTAATAACTAAAAAGATTAGCTTTCATTCCTGTGATTTACCTTAGATCACAAAGTATCATTTCTCTATAAGACGGGACTGTCAGGCACTGCAAATTGAAGTTAGTTAACACTTCTGTGTAATTTCCAGGGTGAAAATGAGGAAGGTTTGGAAACAGTAGGACTGTATTTTCTTTTTTTTCCCCCCTGATACAAAGCAAACAATTATCAAGCAAAGGGCCAATGCTTGGCCCCTGGGATGCTAGTAACATTTCTTAACACCTGCTGAAACAATGACAAGGTATTAATTTGAAACACAATGAAGACAACCCAAAGCCACAGTAGTCAACTGTTACACTTTCAAGCAATTTTCATCGAGTGGATCGAGCAGGTTCTGTGATGGTCCTATAATTGCTGCAGTTTTATGATAGGAAACAAGAGGTTCTCAATGAGATGTAAGTGAGAACTCTCAGTTCCAAACTGGCATCTCTCTCCTCCTCTCCCTTTGGCAGCCGCACATCAAAAGGCGTTCTCCGTGGGGGTAGGGACCCCTACCTGGGGGACTCGACAAACTTATTACTATCGGTTCCATTTCTTTCCTGGTGATGCTTGTGGCAGACTTGGCCTTTCTCTGGACCCCTGCAGCCACCTTGGAGCTAAGATCCAAAGCCAAAGCCAGCAGACCTATTAGTAACCCGCAACGTTCTACAGTAACGGTTATTTTCACCACACCTTTGCTATCCTCAAAGGGGTGTTTCAGTTTTAAAAATTTTGATTATGAAAAAACAAAACCCTCGTATGATTCATCTCCCCCAGGTAGTAAGTAACTCCATATTTCTCTGTTTTTTGACTCTGTTCAATTTTCCTTCACAGCACTTACCAATATCTGACATTATGTTATATATTTATTTGTTGGGTTTTTGTCTGTCTTAGCCAACTAGAACATAAAATCCGTGAACACGGGCTTTATTGGGTGTATTTTCTATTGTATCCTCAGCACATAGAACAATGCTTGGCACAGAGTAGGTGCTCAGAGTAAAAGCCTGGCACAGAGTAAATATTTGCTGAATGAACAAATCCATGAATAAATGCGCCCCCCTCCCAAATGCTTTCTAAAGCTCTTCAGACCGACGACGGAAGGTCTTCTAACGCTGTTCTGCTCAACGTCCTCATCCTCGTTATAAGGCTGATGAGACGCCCTAGGCACCTAGCTCTTGTTTATGTCCATTAGCCGTGGTAAAGTTGGTTTTGTTAGATATTATTTTATTTAAAGTCGCAGTTTCCAAGAACTATTGATGACATTAAGTGAGGACTTACTGTACATGGATTTTTACTGGATCCCCATGAATTAGAACTTGTGAAAATCATATGAATTTCTCTGGGCCTTAGTTATACCATCGGAAAATGGGATTAAAGGCTACCTACTTACCTTAAAAAAATCATTATGATTATCAGCTAAAATAATCGATGTTAAAATGCTTTAAAAGCCATATACTACTATACAAACATCAAGCCATAATGATTCCCCCCAACACACACACAATATACTATTACTTCATAGACTTACCTACCTTTACAATCTACTTTGGAACCAAGAAGAAAAAAGGGGCCTTGGAGAAACCAACATCAAAATAAAGACGACAAAGTCTCTGCATGAAAACACGTAGTTTTCTTTTAATAGAGCCCTCAGGCCCCAACTCAAAATCATCTTTCCTTTTAACCAGCTTTACATCCAATTCTAAGTCTGCTTTCCATCCATTGGTGGGCCAGCAGGGGAAGAGGGGCTCTTTTGAAACAGGGGTGTGGATGAAAGGGCGCTGTACTTCCCCTGATGCCCTGAGGGTGAGGGAGAAGGCTGCCCACTGTGGGTGCACCCACGCAGAGTCGCCAGCAGCTGGGGTCTGGGCGAGGCGAGCTGCCCTACACCTCAGGGGCCCTGGTGGGGGTGGGGGGCACTGGGAAAAGTCATAGTCACAATGGTGGTCCTTAGTCATTGCAGAAAGGTTCAAGTAGGGCCAGTTCCGGATGTGTAATACATTTCAAGTAGATCTCCACAAACTGGTTAAAATAAAAACTGTTTACACACAAACAAGCTAACTTGTAGTTATAGATGGAAAATATTCTTGGCTAAGCAACGGATGCTATTAGAGAAATTAGGCTTGATACCACATTGCTATCTACAAACAGTGGGAAAAACATTAGGCAATGGTTTTAATACCCCACAATTACATCGCTTACTTTAAACGTGGCTTGGGCAGACTGATGCATAGGATGTAGATTTTAGAAGACATAAAATAAATAATAAATGAAGCACATCCTAGGCTTAGATAAACTAAGATATGTTAATCATAGTTTGCTCCTACCAGGATACTTCTGAGTTTGAGAACATAAATTCAGATTTTCAGTATCCTAAGCCAGCCCTAATTAGGAATGCAAATCTGCTACATATACCAAAGGTTCGAACACTAGGTCTAAGATAAAGAGATATGCTTTAGGGATTATGCAGCGTTGTGAATGACTAGTAATAACGCGTGTCTCCATTTGTGTGGATAATGAAGAGACAAGTCTCTAAGGTAACTAACTTCTTTTTATTTTAATCCTCACCCGAGGACATTTTTCCAATATTTTGTTCAAATAGAGTGGGAGGGAGAGAGAGAGAAAGAGAGAGAGAGAAACATCGACGTGAAAGGGACACATCGAGTGGCTGCCACCCACACGACCCAACCAGGGCCGGGGACAAACTGCAACCAAGGTAAGCGCCCTTAGTGGGAACCGAACCCATGTCTCTCTGAACCGCAGGCCGACGCTCTAACAGCTGAGCCAAACTGACCAGGGCAAAGGTAACTAACTTCTAATTCCCACATAGAAGTAAACCAATACACTATGTGCCCACCTCATACAGCAACACATATGAACTCAGTCTTCAGAGCTAGAAACAATTTGAAAGACCTGGGGAGCTTTAAAAAATACTGATGCCTAGATGCCACACCCAGAGACTGCTTTAATCTGGCAAGCAATCTGGTGCTCATGAGTGTACAAAGCTTCCCAGGTGTTTCCAATATGTAGGCAAGATCAAGAATAACTGATTGGGTCCATTGGTTCCCAAACATGGACTACATATCAGAATCATGTGGAGAGCTTCAGAAAGAGATTTTCATGCCCCATCCCAGAACTACTGAGTCAGAATCTCTGGAGGCAAGGGGCTAGGAATCTCTGTTAAAAAACAAAACAAATAAAACAAAAATCCTTGCCAAGTTTTGCTGCTGCACATTCTGGTTCGGGGACCGCTGATTCAATAGTGGTAGTCACTGGTGTGCTGGTCAACTGGCTCTTTTAAACAAAGAACCAAAACAACCCAAACAGCACAGACAGCAGACCTTGATTTGTAGCGCTTGCCGATTTCCATGGTGTAAATACTCTCTCCACGGCTGAGTTGGTGTCATAATGCACCCTCACTGAAGGCAGAGTTGGAAAGAAATGCACACAGTTGACTCATTCTTGGGAGCCAGTGCCAGCAGGCTCTGGGCACTTAGTCAAACACCATCTGAACTCATGCTCCTTACTTGCCCAGAAACCCTGGGCTCTGAACCTCCCTCACAGGATTGTTTTGAGAACTAAATTATTAGTGTTATTTACTACATGTAAACAATGTACGTATAGTACAAATGTCTATTATGCACTATTATTTTCTCTAAAATTGTTTATTTACTAAAACATTAATTATATTATTACTATATAATTATTGTAACAATCATATTATTATTTATAATAGCACTATCATGTTATTTGCTATAAAATACACATTAATCAACTTAATTTTAAAGTTTACCATTTTTTTCTAAGCCATAACAACTGGTAAAATCATGAATTCGAGATGCTAATCATAGTTTTTCCAATACTAAAGTAATTATTCAATTAACTAAATAAAGACGTTCATCTGTGCACTAACTAAACCCAACTGGCAGTTGGCAGAGTGTTTAAGAGCATTGGTTGAAATCTCTGCCCTGCCACTTAGCAACTGTGGGACCCTAAGGAAGTGAACCTCTCCGGCCTCAGTTTCCTCATCTTTATTTTTAATATTTTTTCTTTTCTTTTATTTTTTTAATCCTCACCCAAGGACATTTTTCCATTTTTTGCTCAGGTAGAGTGGGAGGGAGAGAGAGGAACAGAGAGAGAGAGAGAAACATTGATGTGACCAAGGCCAGGGACAAACTGCAACCGAGGTACATGCCCTTAATGGGAACCGAACCCGGGTCTCTCGGGACCGCAGGCCGATGCTCTAACCGTTGAGCCAAACCGGCCAGGGCTAATATTTTTTTAAATTGATTTTAGAGAGAGGAAGGGAGAGGGAGAGAGAGATAGAAACGTCAATGAGAGAGAACACTGATTGGCCGCCTCCTGCATGCCCCCCCCCGGGGATCAGGCCTACAACCTGGGCATGTGCCCTGACCGGGAATTGAACCGGCAACCTCTTGGTGCCTGGGTTGACGCTCAACCACTGAGCCACACCAACCGGGCAGTTTCCTCATCTTTAAAGTGGGTTATTGTGAAGATGAAATGTAAAGTGCTTAGAAGGGTGCCCAGCAGGCAGAGAGTGCTTTCAAAGGCTTGGTTGTAGCTCATCACCGGTGTCTATCATCAGTGCTAAATTTGCTACATTCTGGGACACGCTGCATCATTTTCTCCTGCCTCCCTAGAGGGTGGAGACCCTGCTGGTTCATTTCGTGGGCCCAGAGCGGAGCAAGGCTTCTGTAGAGCATCATGCATGCATGGACATGGCATGACTGCAGGTCAGGATGCCTTTGCTGGGGATGCACAGTCCATTTTCTTCCTCATCTTTACAAAAATTCTGAACCTACCTTGCAGAAATTAGGTCGAACCACATGAAATCGCCAACTCTGGACTTTTTGGAGCTTCCCCAATTCCAATTTGATTTGCTAGTACCAACTGACCAATCAAATTTCTCCATGTATTTGAGCCTTGCCTACTCCTCGCCTGTTCTTGCCCTGCTGGTAACATCTCCCCTCTGCTTTGAGGCCCACAGAAAACAAACCTTGGCCACCACGGTCTTTGAATGTTGAGCCTAGAATTTCAATTTCTATTACTGTTGAAGACCAGGGCAAGCCAGAGCTAATGCCAGCAAATCCAATCCCCCACTCCCACCCTCGTGGATTGACTGTGGGCACTGCACGCCCATCCCCCGCCACGTGTCCTGCGCCTGGCCTGCTGCCGAAAGTCTGAGGAGGGCCAGGTACGGCTGGGCATTTCATGTGCACGGCAAACCGTGACTCGAGTATTCTCTCTGTTTTAAGGAAGAGGACACAGGCCCAGAGAACTGGAGTTGTTTGCTCCCTGTACTGAAAACTTATACTTGGGGCTTGGGAAAATAAATTCTTTAACGTATCTCCTTGCTGCAGTTATGTGAGCTTCCTCTCTGCTCCATTGTAAGGATTGTCTATGCGAAGGAGACCGAAGTCCCTCGATGAGAAATATTATATAAATTCAAAGCATAATTACTGATTGTACATTCTTTCATTAAACAAACAAAATACATGCTAATACTAAATTCACTCCCATTTTCCATTGTGCCTTCCTTGGAGAAATAAACCATTACACACTTAACTTCCTGGGGAAATGAATTTAAATGTTAATATAAATCCTTTTAGAAAAAAACAAATTTTAACAAATAAGTATTTGAACAAGGAGAGCACTTAACCACGTTCAGAATGAGAAACGTTCAGCACGAGCCCCTCGGTGGCTGTTGAGATAAGCTCCCTAAATTTAATATTTTATAATAGACTCACACCTCTTTTGTTAGAAACAGAAGCAGCATCATTTTCCTGGAATATATCAAAATCTCTGCAATTTTATTTTGCTAATAGGCAGGGCGAAGTGTGCCTACAAACTGTCCTGGTCCCTGGAAGGTAATCCCACATTCTAGCATCCACGTGAGTACTTAACCTCAATTTAAATGTAAATTCTGGGCAACTTCAAGTGCTTTATGTGTGAACTTTGAGAGCTCTCTTCATTAATGAGGTCTGCACTCATTATAAGCAGTTTTGTAAGGTTTCCTTAAAACAATCGCAGAATTGACCCCCAAATGAACAAATTCAGAATTTATTTGTTTTAAAAAAAATACTGGCACCCTGTGCAAATTTCCAGCGTGTGACTCTGCTTCCAAGGGGAGCGTGCAGGAGGCGAGGGAGTGGAGCGGTCACAGAGTGACATGTATCAGAGAAACCAAGGAGGATAAAACTGGAAGGAAGCTGGATTTCCCCTCACGTGGCGCCTCTTCCCAATGAAGAAACCACACCCTCTTCTCGTCTGATAACAACTATACATGACATGTGCTTGACTTCCCCCTTCCTGGTGATTCGGTTCAGGAATATACAATTTAACAGCAACTAATGAAAATAGCACCATCACACTTCTCATAAGGGCAAAACAAACCAAATCCCCAAAACCAAAAAAACCAAACCCACAAAAACGGTTTTCAAATACTCACAGGTACATCCACATATTTGGAAGCTGCCTTCACCTAAGAAGGAAAGAAGAGGATGGGAATGAGGCTGGTGTTTATGTTTCATTGTTCACAGCTCAATGCTGTACCACATCAGAGTTAAAACAATATGCTGGCACATGGAGCTGACCAGGAAACACCAAAAGGTACTAAACAACAAAATCTGTTTGCTATTTTTCCCCAAGCCATAGTTACTGCGAGAGAGAGAGAGAGAGAGAGAGAGAGAGAGAGAGAGAGAGAGAGAGAGCGCGAAGGAGGAGGAGGAGGAGGAGGAGGAGAAAGGAAAGAAGGAAGGGAAGGAGGGAAGGAGGGAGGGAGGGAGGGAGGGAGGGAAGGAGGGAGACAGGGACAGAGGGAGAGAAAGTGAACAGAAAGGGCGAAGAAGAGTGAAGTTTTCCTGACCGAGACTCTGTAGCTGGGGTGGGTATTTTGCATATTTCTCCCTCCTTTTAAAAGGGACAAAAATGACTATAGCTGAACCCCAGTTGGTGAGTGGAGGGCTCCCCAGTTTAGAAAAGCACCTAAAGGCTGGGGTCACTTCTTGGGTCTTTGTGGAATTTGGTTAAACTGCATCCTTCAGTTCTGTTTCAGTGAACTCCTTTCAAGAAGAGGGATGTGGTGGGTGGGCATCCTTAACCCTGAGACATACGGGTGTCTGTGGGTGGGGGTTAGAAGGGTAACAGAGCCTTTCAAAACTGTCCCAAGGGTGCTGTTGTGTCTCTTGGTTTTAAAGACTAGAAAACCCAGAAGGGAAGTGCAGGGAATGGTTATGAAATTTATTTTCAGTTTTTGGGGAGGGAGTCTGACAGAGTAGAGTGTTTGAGAGCATGAAATTTGGAGCCAGACCTGGATTCAAATCCTGCCTTTTTCAACTTCCAAGCTGTGAGACATTGGGCAAGTCACTTCATCTCTCTGAGCCTCAGACGCATCATCTGCCAAATGGAGACTCTAATAGTGCCTACTTCAGCTGGTCGCCATACGGGCAAACGCACACAACAGTCCTGGGACTTAGAAAGCGAGCAACAGATAGTAGCCAAAATGAGCAATTCATCATCACGGGCTCTGGGCGCTGGGAGAAGTCAATCAGCAGCGGAAACCATGTCTGATGGTCTATATGTCTAATTTTGACTTGCATTTGGTCATGCATGTCCTTCTAGGCACAGGGAAGACTACGGGGCTACATCGGGGGTCAGAGAGCATTTCCGTTTTGATGGGCAACCACAAAGACTGCGACACACACAGCAGTCGGGATGTCTTCCGCATCTCAGGCAGGCTTCCCTGGACATTTGGCTGAGATGCATATCGGAAATCACAACCTCTACCCACATGAAAGTTTCCAGGGGAGCGTTTTCCCTCTTGCCCTTTTCCCAAAGCTGCTTTGCCAAATGTCAGCTCCCAAGGGAGAGAAGCCAATGAGCCGTAGTGTGGGGTGGAAGGAGCCTGGGATTTAGAGCCAAAATTCCGTAAGTGCCAGAAACAGTGGACCCTGGATAATCACGTCAGCACCTCAGTCTTGGGGTCTATGCTTCCAGAACAGGGTGATAATATGCACTGTGCAGGGTTGAGAGGCTGATCAAGTGAAAACAAATAGAAAGTGCTTTGTAAACTTTGAAAGGGCTGAGCACACATCGGTTAATTATCAAGAGAGCAAAGCATGGTCTCTTCTGGGGTCACTGTCAGCACCCAAGATGATCTCCAGAGCCTCCTGTTACTGATTCCCCTGAAATCCTGCACTTTTCTATGCAGCCCTGACCGCCACTGCCAGTCAGGAATTTCTGCACACTGTCCCCTCGAACAGGATGTCATGTCTTGCTCACGGCTATCTTCCCAGCAACTCACTTGGACCCTGTCTTAGAGAGGGCACTGGGAAAAATTTTAGAAGGAAGAAAAGAGAAAAAGCGAGTGACCAGTTCTGGCTTCAGAGGGGTGAGGAATGAGCAGAGGCATGACCAGCTTGAGAAGCCACTGAAGCCAACATATTTATGTATCAAGCTGGCCGCCTGCAAAGGCTGCTGGGTAAAGCAAACCGCGCTGGGCCATTGAAGGGTTTGCCGAAAGTGTTCCAGATTTCACACAACTAATATTTTCATTAAATGATTCACAACCTGAAATCATTCCTCTTTATTCCTGTTCCAGAATTAAGTTTGGGCGAAAAGGTGGCTTTCCTTTCCTCCAAGTCCCCCTCATTTAAAATAACATCTAACATGTTTGGGATGTTTTCCAATTTGCAAAGCACTTTTATGTACAGTTTTTTCTTTAAGCCACCCTGCAAAGTGGGGACTCTGAGTCATATCTCTTTACGATTGAGAACACGAAAACCCCTAGCATTTAAGAATTTATTCACTAATGATGTCGGCAGAGAAGCCAGGGCCCCTGAGCCACGACTGTTCCTTGGAACTCCTGACCTCACCAATGATAGAAAAGTGCAAGGAAGTCAAGCATCACTGGTCAGAGCAGGTGCTGGCAAAATCATTATTCTCAGTGGGAAATTACCTCCTTTGCTCCGTAGCGTTGGTGCTTGGCAGTTGGTAGGAGTTTTGCTACAGCTGAAATGATCAACCTCTAAACACGCCTACTCTCCATTTACCACTAACATGCAGTTCCAACCCGGAGAATGACACCGGTCAAGCCCTGTCCCTTTCCAGGCAGTTGGGAAGACAGAGCAAGCTCTGTGTGATGAATGAAAGCCGTCCCCCCGCCACACGCACCAGCCTTCAGTGCGCTGGGCTGGCGGTTTTCTCTGGCAACTGCTGACCTGCACAGGGTCTCATCAATCTTCCTCCAGTCCCATAATAACAGGAAAAAATAGCTCAGAGTAAATTGCGGTCCTATTATTATTTATTTATTTTTACAAATATTTTTTCTTTATTGATTTAGAGAGAAAGGAAGAGAGAAGGAGAGAGATAGAAACATCGATGAGAGAGAACATTGGCTGGCCGCCTCCTGCGTGCCCTGCACTGGAATCGGGCCCACAACCTGGGCATGTGCCCCGACCGGGAATCGAACCAGTGGCCTCTTGGTGCATGGGTGGACACTCAACCAGTGAGCCACACCAGCCGGCCTGCAGTCCTATTATTTAGAAACATGTGGTAAACCATTTTTGGTTCTGGCCATTGAACTTGAGAAGGATGTTGACAGGACCGAGGGGGGCCTGGAAGGGTCTTGTGTAGGGAAAGTGAGAGCAGAGGCATCTCGCTGGAACAGGGCTGATGGCAAAGGAAATGACAGCCTTCAGGTAGTAAAGTAAGGGCCTCCACGCAGAGGGGGCCTGTTCACAGCCTCCCAGAGCAGAGTCAAGATGAATGGTCAAAACGACAAGCCCCAAAGCAGGTGCAAACACCTCGCTCCTTCCCTGGGTGCGGGGACATCCTCTAGGGGGAGCTCCCCGGGGTCAGGGGCATGCTCCGGAGCGAGCCTTTCCCTCTGTGAGGGGCTCCCTCCCAGGCTGCTCCTGCTCTCTGAGTGGGCCCCGGAAGCACTAGGAAGCTGCGTCGGCTCTCGTCCTCACAGCGGACGTGGTGAGGTACGGCGGAGTGTCCACAGGCAGAGGAGGGTCCGGACTCTGCTCCTGGAACCCTGTCCTGCCACCTTTAACTGTCCACAGGAACACGGTGTTTGGCCAGCTATACTCTACACAGAGAGGAAGAACTGGATCCTCCCATCCCACTGAGGCTGTGAAATTGTTGCCAAGGGTCAGAAATCCAAGAGCACATCCGGCCCTGTCGCTGGATCAGATCAGCAGCAGGTCTGACGATCTACACAACACTATTTTCCATTATATGTAGATGCTTTGATGAATAAATTATACATTTCTTAAAAAGTACTACCTGTTTTATAGATTTTTGTCATTATGTATTTTCCCCCCATCCATGGTTCTCAAAAGTGTGTGTGTAATTTTCTTTCTGCCTCTCTTTTTTTCAACTTTAAAAGAAATCATCCCAGTGAAGTGACTAAGAGAACACACTCAGGGTGGCTGGGTCCGAACTCTGGCTTGGCCATCTCTGAGCTTTGTGGTTTTGCTAAGTTACTTAGCTTCTCCGAGCCTCCTCTGCAAACAGGGCAATAGCAGTGTTACTCCGGGGGATGCTGAGAGGGCCGAGGGAGGCAGTCATGCTAGGGTGTGGGAGGAGGTCCCCGCCCCTCTCCTGCTGGCTGGGTGGGCTGGCCGGCTGGTGCGGACAGAGGGACAGAGCGCGTGACCTGCTGGCTGTCCGAGGGCAGAGGGAGCTGTTCCACTCCCCACCTCGAGACCACAGGCAATTGCTTGCCATAAAGAAAGGGTGCTGGAATCTCCCCAGGTTACCAGCAGGTACCTGAGTGGATTCTCAGTCTGGCATCCTCTCTGCCAATTCTGTGAACACCCTGTGCACTGGAGAACTTGCCCTTGACAGACTGAGGCAGGCGGCAAAGCCGTCTGCTCCCACCTCGGCGTGGCTGAGCAGAGGGGCCGCCCCCAGACCAGTGTGCTCTGAGATACTCGGTGACACCTGCCTCCTGCCTACTGCTCTGTGGGACCAGGCTATGTGCCCTGGGCATGGGAGATTAGGGGGAGGGAGAAAGCTTTGCCCCAGACGCCCGGTCTGGCACCCTTCTAAGCAGGGACTCAACGGCCCTCAAAGGAGAGACAATAAGTGTGACTTCATTTTCTGAGACTCCCTGCTTTCTCCCCATCCCCTCTGGTGGGACAAAGACTACCCCTTCTCTAGCAGTATCCATGATCCCCCACCCCACCCGACCTCCCGGATGTAGCAGCTCGGGAATGGAACTGAGGAAAGGAGATGCAGATCGGGAGCGGTGTGGAGACGGAGCGTGCAGGTGGGAGAAGCGGTCCGTGAGCAACCTGGCCGTGTCGCTCCGTGGTTCCTGCCCGGGGCTGAGGCCTCGTCTGAGAGCACAGTGTCTCCCCCATGAACGAGTCGTGTCCACCCAGCAGTGAGGAACTGCAGGTGACGCTTCTCGAGTGCTTACGACTTGCCAGGTGACGAGGGAGGAATGTTCCATTTATTATATTTGGTCCT